AGATCTCTGTCCTTGCCTTCCAAATGCTGCTCACATTTTGGGCTCATGGCTCTCCTCCTTCCTCTTCCAAATGAGCAATGTAGCATCTCTCTGATGTCACATCTCCCTCTAGCACACCCAGGTAAGGTTTCCCTTTTCTCAAATGACTAGAGGGCTACCTGGATAATCCAAGATAACTTCTCCATTTTAAGGTTCTTAACTGAGTGTCATCTGCAAAGTCCTTTTTTTCCATGGGAGGTAAATTGACTGATTCCAGGGTTTGGGCGTGGCCAACTTGAGGGAGACCCATGATTCTGCCTGCCACACCCATCATCCTGTTTTGCAGATGGGCAATGGATGGCTTAGGTATGTTGGAAGGTCAGGTGGATTTACCAACAGCCATCCAAAAAATAAGTTCAACACTCATTTTGAATGTAGCTTTCTCTGATTCCAAATTCTCTTCTTAGCGACTGCAGCATGCGGTTTGGGCTTGAAGGGCTCCCTAGATCCAAGTGGTCTGTAAGCATTTACGGTGTGATGTTTATGTAACAGATTTCTGTTGGAGTATTCTGATGTTGTGAGAATCTCAAATGACTTGTCCTGAACTAGGTGGGAAACGTGTGGCAACATGTTTATTATACCTGGCTTATGCAGGTGTTTCCCAAATTTGGCCTGTCTTTTTTCATGGAGACATGATAGATGGCTGGGACAGAAAAGAGATTGAGTAATAATTATTGAACGTAAAAATGAACTTTTAAAACAATTCACTTCATGGACAACAGTGAAGTTTCCATCTGTTAAAATATGGATTTGAGTCACGTTTCACAAATTTAAAAGCAGACATTTCTTTTACTTTTTGAAAGGCATGATAGATTTTAATGTGTTTTTTGTGAAGGTCTTACTTTTTTTTTTGTCTGTGTTTTTATATGTATTCTTATAGAATAGATTTTTCAAATTATATATCCCTCTCCCAATTTAACACAAAATTACTTCATATCTGCACCTGGCACTTAAATTTTGGTTTAAAAGAATCTGTAGAATGTATGTTATTGGCATATTGCAAATCACCAACTGTGATGCCACTGAAATCCAAACAGCATTTGTTCATCACACCGTCCAGATTACTAAACTTGTTTTTCTAAAAATGCTAGAGATAATTATTGAAGCTAATATGTGTATAGCTCTTCCATCATGTATGGCATTTAACGACTCTTTTTTTTTGTAATTTTTAATCTCAAATTTTCATTTGCAGAAAGGCTTGATTCTTGAGAGAGCACAGCATTGTGAAAAGTTAATAACAAAACTGAATTTCATTTGCTTCCAAATTAAAACACAAAATGTCAAACTTAATTTCATCAAATGCATATTAAGCCACACACCTTGTGAAAAATATGATGATATTAAAACTCAAGTGTAGAAGTCCAAAATCCTGATGATGAGCTTGGTAATATTGTTGTTTACCTGTTTTTATTCTCAAATTAAAAATTAAAAATTGGGTGTGTTACTAAAAGATGGGCAATTAGTGCAGGGTCATTGAACTATGGATGGTCTACAGCCAAATTTAGCCCACTACCTCCTTATGTAAGTAAAGTTTTATTTAAACATAGCCACATCATTTTTGTATTGTCTATGGCTGCTTTTTTGCTACAATGGGTGAGTTGAATAGTTGTGAAAGAGATGATATGGAGCACAGCTCAAAAGTATTTATAGTCTGGACCTTTTCAGAATAATTTTGCTGATCCCTGATGTAATGGGGTGTCTGCTACTAATACAAGGAGACAATAACCAGTTAATAACAGAAGATACCAAGCTAATTTTATTTCTGTATATGGAAAATTTGGTTTATGCATACAAATCCTTTTGCATTTTTATAACTATTAAGGGTTTCTTTTCCCACTTACGTTGCTTATTATAAGGTTGAATGGCCCAACTATGCATCCTACTTTGATTTCTTCTTACCACTTAACCTCCTTCCAGCTTATTTAATCAGCTAATTATATATCATACCTCAGCAGGGTTCTGAGATTACTGTTTGTCTACATGTCTCTGTGACCTTACAGTGGTTTTCTTTATTGTTTCATGAGTGGATTGATGATGTGTAAATGTTTATGGAAATATAATAGCGTTTACTCAAAATGACAAAAGATTACAAAATGGGGATTGTAATTATAAGTGCTATTCGTGTTCTATGGTTTCTTATTATTGTCCTTTTCATGATAGGAGTATTGGCATTGAAAAAGCTTAGATTGGAGGTAGTAGAAGGAGGGGACTTCAGCTTGATTATAGCCATGGTTCTTTCCTTAAATGCTGAGCTTGCTAGGTTTGGGAATGTAGGGTGATAATCCAAGGTGAGAGCCATTATCGTTCCTTAGAAATTTAATACTCTGGGATTCTTAAGAAGTATGTTAGTGCTTTAAGAACTGCTTTAGTTATAAGAAGAAATAGAATGAATTTGTATTTTTATAGTATTTATAATGCTGTTATAACATTTAAAAATTCTTAATAATTTTATACTTCAGAAAAGTTAGAATCATAGAGTATTTCCATATACCCTTCATCTATTATTCCTAGTGCTGTCATCCTACATAATTATAGAACAATTATCAGAAGTCGGAAACTCACCTTGAATCAGTCCTGTCAACTAATCTTCATAGCTCATTTGACTTCTTTACTAATGTCCTTTTTCTGGCCCTGGATCCTGTCGAGGACTTCACCTTGCATGTAGTTCTAATTTTTCCTTGGGCTCCTCCAATTGACACAATTTCATTATCTTTTACTTTCATGATCTTGACACTTCTTAAGAGTAGTATTTTCTAAAACGTCCCTCAATTTGGCTGTGTCTTGATGTTTCCGCATGATTAGATGGAAGTTGTTTCTGGCAGGAACACCAAGAAGTAACATTATATCTTCCTCAGTGCATTGTATCACATGGCCGGAGGTGTTGCTGCGTCTCATTACTGGTGACATTGACCTTGGTACGGTGGTGTCTGCCAGTTTTCTCCACTGCGAAGATACTGTTTTCCCACTTCTAGTTAAAACGTATCTTATGGGAATACATTTTGTGATATGCAGATATACCATTTCTCATCCTATTTCACCCACTAATTTTAGTATCTGTTGGTAGATATTACCTGCGACAGTTATTACTGTGGAGGTTGCCAAGTATGATTCTGTTTCCATCATTCCTTCTCTATATATTATTTGGAAAGCCACAGTGGGGAACAGCTGTCCATTCTCCACCGTTTATTCATTTATTTATGTCATTATGGACTCATGGATATTGAGTTTGGTCTTTGGATTATGATCCGATGCTGGCATTATTTATTGTTTACAAGTTGTTTTGGCTTTGGGCATTGGGCACACCTTCAGGTTGACACCTATTTCCCTTTGCTGTGCTGCCAAAATTTTGGGGTACTTTACTTTTTGACATCACACAGCTTTCCAGGCTCATGAGATGTTTTCTCTTACCCCAGACCTGAAATCAACCATTTTTCGTAGGAGCCCTGGTTCATTTGCTGGAGAAGGATCCTAGTTCATTTGCTTTAGTAATGTCCTTTTTCTGGCCTTGGATCCTGTCAAGGACTTCACATTGCATGTAGTTCTCATTTAAGATCTGGGTGCTAGATGTGCTCTTTGGCACTGGGATGTCTTGGCTTTAGAGCCTCTCAATGGATAGAGCTAGGAACTCTATATTTGTATGCTCACACACACATTATGTTTGTCTATACCTATCTGTGAACGTACCTACCTAGCTACTTAAAAAATTCACGAGTTCATCTTGATAACTCTGATTTCAATGTCTACCACAGAGTTTTATTCTAGCTTTTCCTTTGTAACTTCTGTTTGTGAGATCATTGGCTTTTATCATCCAAAATATTATTACTCTTTTTGTTCATTCCTTGTCGTGTGTGTTGCAGAATGAAAATTGCTAAATCATACACTTGTGAGAAACAAATTTACTAACTAGAATGTAATATTTGCACCACAGTTCTTTTGCCTTTAGCTTTACATTAAATGGTAAAAATAGAATTTTCCTAAGTTTCTTAGGCTGGTTCTTTTCTCCCCTGCCCCATTTTGTGTGGTCATGTTATTCATTCAGAACCAAGTTAGGTTTATTTGTTTCTGTGCCATTTTCGATGTTCCTACTGTCCCCATTCCCCTCCATTCACCTTGCCATCCTGGTTGATTTTAGTCATTTATTTCTGTTTTAGGTAATCGAGTCATTGTTATGATTCTAGGAGTCAGAGCTGTACAGCAAAATAGACTCAGAAAAGTGTCATTGCCTCATTATTACATTGTATATTCCTAGTCCCTCTGTCTTTCAACTCTATTCCTGTTTATTCCCTGTTAAGTAACCCATTTCATAAGTTTCTCTTTTATGGTTCATATATATCCTATGCACAAATGAGCTGATACATGTATAGTTTTTAATACTCTCTTCTTCCTATATGAAGAGTAGCTTGTACTATGTGTATATGTATACATATGTATACACACACTCTTTTGCATTTTTCCTTTCTACTTAACAATATATATCCTACATTAAAAAAAAATTTAAATTCACCTGTGCCGTAGCATGTTGTGATAGCAGGTAGTTTTTATTATTTTCTATCCATAGAATTTTGAATATGAAATATACAACTTAGATATGTGAAAGCAAAGCATCAAAATTCAGGGAAACACTTTCTTTGAAGTTTTACTTCCTAAAGCTTAACATTCCAGGGTCATGCATACTAGTGTTTTTCCACTAAAGATTTATGTCAAAATAGTATAAATTTGGCATAGTAATTTAAATGCTTTTACTTATAAATGCAAATTTGCCTTTCATTTCTAGCTGGTAGCAGTGTTCGATGAGCAAGATCCACATCATGGGGGTGATGGCACCAGTGCCAGCTCCACAGGTACCCAGAGCCCAGAGATATTCGGTAGTGAGCTTGGCACCAACAATGTTTCCGCCTTTCAGCCTTATCAAGCAACGAGTGAAATTGAGGTCACACCTTCAGTCCTTCGTGCAAGTAAGTAAAAAGCTCTTTCTTCTCTGCACATTTCATCTTAATTTACAAGGATACCAACTTTTATTATCCATCCATGCTCCTGCAAATGGAATTCATTATCTGTTTTTATCAAAAATTGATGAAGTTTAGAACCTGGGCAAATGTCTTTTGCAAGGAAAGTAGGCAATTCTTCACATTTTAATAGATACGGCTTACTTTACTTTTAGTATACTTTTAATTGCTCGGTCACAGCAAATAAGAGCAATAGTTCAGGTTAATTTATCTGGATTTTTCTTTCTGTTTATCTGAATGTTGGAAAAAATAGAAATAATCAGAGGGTTTTGCATGGGAACAAAACATAGCATCGTTAACTGACAGTCAACTCGGTTGCAACCATTATTTCTATTATTTGAACTTTATCTGAAAGTTACCTTGTGGGATCTGGAAGAGCTGCTATTACAGTATCACCTCAAGAAAAGGGGATATAGGACACAGTGACTCTTTATTAGCAATCTGACGACACAGGGTATTTCTCTTCTGGGGCACTTGCTTGAAGAATTCCGTTAGCCATTCCTGGAAGGCTTACTCAGAAAAAGTAAGGTACTTTTGCTAGAGAAATAGTATTTAGTGTTTGTAATTATATAATTTTATAATGGAGGTGTTGTTATGAGTATGAAGGTCCATTTCAAGAAATTTAAAAGTTCGTAGGTTATTTTTAGGAATATCTATTTGGAAACATCAGTTTTTTAGGTGGAAAATTTGGTCTTATGTGGGTTTACTGATAGTCTTCAGTTCATCTGCAGATATAGATGGATAAATAATATATGTTTATATAACATATATGTTTATATAACATATAAAATTAGCATATAAAATATAAGTAATGGTTAGAATGCGTAGTTTATTCTTCTAAAATGCATCCATATTCTCATTTTATTTGCATTGGTAGCAATCTGTGGCATTTTCACAATTTGCTTCTAGATGTTCAAAACCATTTCTGCTCTGAATGTATATATAAAGAGAACAAGTGAAGAATATTTAAAAATTAACACATCTGGTTGTTCATCAGCGCCTACAGGAAAAGTGTTCCATATAGATGTGTAGAGAATTTAGAAGGAATAGTGCAAGATGGGATGTGTAAGTAATGCCCTAGGGCAGTGGTCTCCAACTTTATTGGCACCCAGGACCTATTTCATGGAAGACAGTTTTTCCAAATGGAGTGAGAGTGGAGCAGGGTTGAGCCCAGGCAGTGATGTGAGTGATGGGGAGTGGCTGTAAATACAGATTTTTTTTTTTTCTCTCCCTCACCTACTGTTTACCTCCTGCTGTGCGGCTCCCCTCATTCAAGTTTCACGCAGGACAGTTTTTCCATGGATGGGGCAGGGCAGGAGGTGTGGACCCCTGTGGCCTGGTCCCTAACAGGCCACAGAGTGGTACCAGTCTGCAGCCTTGTGGGAGAGGACTGCAGCCTTTGGGGAGAAGACCACAGCCCTAGAAGATTCTATTTAGGCAAAGACCAGTGCTAACAACTTCCTACAATTGCCCTCTATTATCTGGACAAGATGAGACCCAGATACAATGAAAAATGTTTCCTGGGAACCTTGGAGTACAACGACTGCTATAAGTTGTTTGAGTTGAACATTTCTTTACATGTAGGATATTTAGGTTTGGTTGTATATATATACAAGCAAATGTATTTTAAATTAATTTTGTGGAAGTAACATTAGTCCATGGCTATATTAATACCATTTTAAAAGTCTGATATTTGATTTACTTTGGACTGTGTTTTTCAAGATTTGGGGCAGGTACAGTGCGTGGTGTACAAGGTACTGTGTGGTGGCACATAGTTACCCTAGTTTCTTTTATTATATACTAGCTCATTAAACCCACCATTTAATGGATATCTGCTTGGAATGAGCCTATGTAAACAACATAGATTGCCCAAATTTGAGAAAATTTTAACTAACTAATCGTGTAAGTATTTAGGTACTTACAGTTTGGAAAATAGTGTCTTTTTGTGAGTACACCTTTATGTACTTAAATACAAAACTCTGGTTGTGTTACTGTTGTGGTTTTGTATTTGTGTGTCTCCTAAAGCAAGAAGCACCTATAATTTATTGCACCATAAGAAATGTTGGAGGAAAGGTAAATCCTGTGTGGACTTTAGAAGAATTGGAATGGCATACTGTCCATCCCTTTTTATCTTTTGTCTTCCCTGGACTCAGCAAAATCTCTAACATACACAACCACCCACATTTGGCTGGCCCTTATGTGTTAAAATTTAAATGCTGTTTTAAACCCAAAATATCTCTTTTATCTTGTTTTTATTGAGAAAAAGAAGTTACATTTGAAGCATATGTGTTGTCTTGCAACCACCAGTGGGAGAATATGCAAATCTTGTTTTCTTGCTTTGATTTTTATACACTGAGGTTGTTTAGATTTTAAGGCCTTGGCAGGCGGTGGGTAAGTACATGTTGTGCATCTACTATATACAACATTTGTGACTATGTAAAAATTGCCATCACACATGAGCCATCTAGCTATTAAAACGCCATTTCATGCTGTATTAATGACATTCATTCACACATGGAATGTAAGTCTGTGCTGGCCGGCATCGTGCCCTTGTTGTCAAAGAGCTACGGTTCCTAGTCTTCGTTATTTACAGATCAGGAATAAAGAAGCCAACAATATGTAGAAATTTGCTCCATTGAGGAATAATTCTAATTAGGGGCATGATTAATAAAGACTTTCAGATAAGCTCCTCATTTTTGCCTTGAAGAAAGAATGATAACTTCCTCTGTTTTCCAGTGCATGAATTCACTTACACCCTTTGTTCTGAAAAGAATTTGATGGAAGGTGAGAAAAATAGGGTATAATTCTTTTTTTCAGTTGAAACATGGGTATTCAATTTAGTTATTAAGATAAAGCCCGGATGGGTTTAATCAACAGAATTCTCACCTTGAGGTCTTTTTGTGTTTTCTTACATGCTGCCATTTAGTTGGCCTTGAGCTTTTTTGTTAGTACGTACAGAGAACTCTGATTAGTTGAATCAGTGGTTCTCAAACAGGAGTGGTTTTCCCCCAAGGGACATTTGACAATGTCTGTAGATATTTTTGGTTATCACGACTGGTAGATGTGTGTGTGGGAGATTGCTCCTAGCATCTCATAGAGGCCACCTATAGGGTTAAACATCCCACAAGCACAAGACAGTCCACCACATTCAACAACTCACCAGCCCAGGTTTCAAGTAGAGCCAAGGTTAGAAACCCTAAACTGAATGAATCATTGTTTTTACAGTCACACTAGCAGTTACCTGAAACTTGAGAGAGATTTTCCTGAGTCCAGTATATTGAACAATGTTCTGCATACCACCCTTAAACTAAAGGAACAAGGTTGTGGTTACTAGCTAATTACGATATGGTTTGTAGTAGGTAACTGATGGACAATAATGAAGAAAAGGTGGACTCTGAGTAGTATTACACAAAATATTAGTACAATTGTTGGAACAAAAATACAAACTTTTTTAAATAAAAAAACTTTCAAAGAAATGACAAACCACACAGTGAAAGACTATTTATGTAAAAGCTTCTTATGTTAAAGAATAACATCACATAACCATAAGACATAAATACCTGTGGGAAAAAGAATAGGATAGAGGAAGCAGAGTGGACTTAAACTACCTAGTTTCATAGGACTTTTGTAGGACGTATACTATACTACTGGACTTATACTACCTAGTTTCATATATTTGACATCGGAACCTTACTATGTTTTCCATAATTATAAAACAATCCAATTTTAATTTTTAAAATAAATGTTTTAAATAAATGTTACTATCCATAATAAAATGTTAACAGGTAATGATTCTTAAATGAATATGAAATACCTAAATATAAATATATATCTAGTTGGTGGCCTTAACATACCAGGGGTAACTATTTTAAGTAACTTTACAGCACAGTAATTTGTCCAACTGAGGTTAGATGTATCCTAAGGAAAAAAGCAAACAAGAACCCTGCAACTGTTGGTTGGTGTTGTTAATCTTGGATTCTTAGGTGGGTGTTATGGGGTGAAGGAAATGAGGAATTGCAGTGTTTCAATTCTGTCATTCCCGTTGTCATTGAGGAGCCAGGATTCTTAGCATAGACTTAAAGGGACACAAATGAATGTTAGTGGAGAATATATGAAAATTTTATAGTCTTTAATTTTTATTTCTTTAAAAAAAGAACGTGGATGGAATAGTCCTGTATGTGTTCACTGAAACTGCCTAGAATCAGTGACCAACCCATTAACTCACATTTCTCACATCCAAACTGTGCTCTGGAAATAACATCTCCCATTAAAAGAGAATAGAGCTCCTTAGAGAAATACATGAATTCAGGTCTGGACAGGAAATGAATGAGATGACCTTGGATTATCATGTCATATTAGCAAACCCCAGGACACTATGAGAGGTTACTAGTTGGTGTTGGCGGGCCTGGGAGCTGACATGATGTGCCCGTTGGCCAACAGTGGGACAACTGGAACATCAAGGATAGTAACAGCAATAAACATGTGCATGGATAATAAGTAAATAAGCCCTTGAGTGAGGTAAAGGATGCAAGTGAACCAATTATTGGAAAACTGTTGATGTAAGAAAAGAATGAGTCATCTATTCTGCATTTTCTATATGAGTGGTATCACTGGATAACCAAATAGTAGATGAAAGTTACTTTTTAATAAGTATCCCAGGTAATAAATGAAGATTAATAATAATAGAATATTACTATTTTGCAACTCCTGATGAAATAATGGACTTAGGTATTGATCATTGCTGTGGTCTTAGTATGTCCCCCTCCCCACCCCAAATTTTGTGTGCTGGAAATATAACCCCCCCAGTGCAGCAGTGTGAAGAAGTGTGGCCTGATGGAAGGTGGTTAGGTCATAAAGGCTCTCGTGACAAAAGGGATGTGAGGGAGCCCCACTCTTCCTTTCCACTCTTCTGCCATGTGAGGACATCATGTTCATCCTCTCCTTCCCTTCTGCCTTCCTCTGTGTGAGGACGCGGTCAGAAGGCCCTCAGCAGGTACCAACATCTTGATCTCGAACATCCCAGCCTCCAGAACTACCAGAGCATAAATTCCCCTTGTTTGTAAATTACTCAGTCTCGTGTATTCTGTTACAGCAGCACAAAATGAACTAAGACAGTTATCAGCCACTGCTAACATAAAATAAAAGTGACAAAGGAGAGACACCCAGGCACTGTGTGCCTCCTGATGGAGGAGCACGACACCTCCTACAAGGTAGCCTCGACAAAAGAAATTAACCATGAGTCTGATCAAACACCTAGATCCTACTGCCAATTCACAGGAAATACAGAGCACTACGAAGTGTGTTAACACCACAGGGGACGCAGCGTGACGCAGCCAGCCAGTCAAGACGGTGGGAAACTGTATAAGACAAATGGCCCACGTTCTTCCGTAAGTCAGTCGTGGGGTGGAAAGGAGATGGAGAGGGAATGTAGAGATTAGCAGAGACTTTTGAGATACATAAAATCCATCCATAATGTGTGGATCTTATTTAAATCCTGATTTAAATGAAGCTAAAAACAATGACATTTATGTGCTGATGAGTAGAACACTAATTGGGTATTCAATATTAAGAAATTATTTAGGTGTGATGTTATTGAAATTATGTTTTAACGAGCCTTTATCTTTTAATAATTCATACTGAACTATTTAGTGTTAAAATGATGTATCTGGAACTAGCTTCAAAGTATTACAGGCTGGGGAAGTGAGGAATGGGTTACATATGGATTCAGTATACTGTCTACGTTCAAAGTTATCTTCAATAAAGGTGTTTTGTTTTTTTTTTTTTGTATTTCTAGGAAACACACTTAAGGAACTTCTTTAATTCTTTAATTTCTCTCCTTGAACTCCCCCCACTTCCATATAGCTCAGAATTTTAACCTAGTTATCTTTTAGGCTTGACTATTTTTCATTGTTCATTTTTTCATACTTCTCTGCAACAAAGAAACTCTATTAAAAATGTAATTCTTTTAATTTTTCTGTAAAATTTAAATATACTACCGTGACGACTATCATGGTTAAAATATAATTGATCCAGATAGTGCAAATATACAAATACGTAACAAATTTTGCTTTTTTTCATGTGAAAATAAATGAAGACCATCCGAATGGAGAACAAGCAAAGGCTGTTTATTCAGACTTTCTATGGTGGGATGGGGGTGGGGTGGGGGGGGCAGACACCATCGCTTGCATTTGGCAGAGGCTCCCAGACAGGCAGAGGAGTGGGAAAGCATGTTAGAATGGGAAAAATGGGAGGGCTCTTTTTTTTTCACCCAGATTTTGATAAGTGGAGTGGGACTATATTCTACTTTATGCTTTCAATCTGAGCTTCCTATTCAGATACTGCTTTCTAGGACAGAGCATAGAGTGTTTATGGTTCAGAAAGAGTGCAGGCAAGAGAATCGCGTCATGAACACTGGATAAGGTTTGTCATCTCAGCCTCAGTTCCATCATCTGAGTACCTACCTGAGGATTGTTGTGAATGGCAATGAGATAATGTTTAAAGGTGTACTACAGTGACACGATAAGCACTAGATTAGCAGAAGGTTTTGGAATGATCATGATAATGATGTCCCTTGAGTGCAGACCCGCTTCTTATGGGTGTTCAAAGGATTGAGATGTTTTCGAGCCCAAGTAACTCGTCTTCTTGAATAGGACATTGCTGGCCCCTTACGTAGATGAAGTGGAGTACTAGCATATGGTGTCAAATTGGAGCCACTTCTGAGATATATGTTTAACTATCTCTATTTGAAATATTAATAAATCAGGTTTAGAGAGAGTGTTCAGGGACGTACAGTTCATATGCATATCATTGAGTCCAAATCTAGTCATTTTTTTTCACATTTTTTTTCTATTTATAATTCTCAAGGAATTTTTATAGAATTCAGACATTTGGAGGTAGCCTGCCTTTAGAATCATGGCAGGATTCTTTTTCATTCCCAGAATTTAGGTTTTTCAATGTCTCATGGAAGGTGCAGACTGAAGAATTAGGTTTCCTTTGGAAATAGCATATGCTCCAGTGATGGTATTAATAAAATTTCTGCAAATAGTACTGCTCTAAAAATTTTGGGGAACAAAATGTGATTCATTACATTTCCTTTTTATTATCTTTTAAGATTTTTTTTTTAATCACTTTTAACCTTTTCTAAGTTAGGTTAATTTTGTTAACTTTTTATCCATTGCATGGAAATTTGTTTTCTAAAATGTTATTTACCTAATTTAGATTTTACTAACTTCCTAACTTTTAGAACTTAAAGAAATACCCATATTGTTATGTAGAGGGATTGTGTCATAAGTTTGCATTCCTTTCCCTTCTTGATGTCTTTCTTCAGTTTTTTCTTGCCCAATGATATACAGATTGAGTCTGTCTTTCTAGAAAGTCCAACATCTTTGGTTTAGAGAGCTATCCTCTTAACATTAACTCTTACTAGAATACTATTTTCTGGATCTGATTTAAACACATATTGAGAATAGAAATAATATTCCTATTGTATTTCCTTTTAACTTGTGAAGTGGAGCATGGCATACAAATGGTATTCTCAGTATTTCAAATAATTACCTTCTTACTGTGCTAGTTCTATTCAGCATATAAAACCCATCCAGTTTTGTTGTAGATGCAATCTGATTATTACATGTTGACAAGGTCATATATCTATTAATTGGATTGGAGATGGGATACAAAATTGCTGTAATTATTGTAATTTTCTAGCTAATTGCAGGGTTGGTGGTGAATATTTTACTTCTGTAAAATGAAAAACAGTATTCCATCAGAAGTTGTTTTATGGGGTTTCAGACATTTTGTTTTATATCTTTGGTGCTTTTTGCCCATAAAGTATCTCTCTTTGTATTTTCTTTTCTTTTTTTTTTATATTGATCTGCCTTCAGTGTCACAGTGCTCATTGGCAGGCATCAGCAGAATGAGGCAGAGAGCTGAGTAGTACTCTCATTTACCTCTTTGTTCTGGTTGCCACATTACCTCTATTGTTTGTTTACAACTTGGAGTATTCTTTCAGGCCAATAACAAAGGTTAGATGGGTTAGATCCAATTGGAAGAGGAGTCTTCTGCTCTCTTGTCACCTGTGCCTCACTCAGAAATACTCTCTGAAATGAGCATTGAAAAAAATTCAATTCATTTCTGTGCGTCACAGAACGGAGTAGCCAACGGCCTGGAGAGAACATGCCCAAGTTTTATTGTGACTACTGTGACATGTACCTCACCCATGATTCTCCATCTGCGAGAAAGACACACTGTAATGGTAGGAAACACAAGGAAAATGTGAAAGACTACTATCAGAAATGGATGGAAGAGCAGGCTCAGAGCCTGATTGACAAAACAACAGCTCCATTTCAACAAGGAAAAATACCTCCTACTCCATTCTCTGCTCCTCCTCCTGCAGGGGCGATGATTCCACCTCCCCCCAGTCTTCCGGGTCCTCCTCACCCTGGTATGATGCCAGCACCTTATATGGGGGGCCCTCCTCCTCCAGGAATGATGCCAGTGAGACCTGCTCCTCAAATGAGGCCACCCATGGGAGGCCACATGCCAATGATGCCTAGGCCCCCAATGATGAGACCTCCCGCCCATTCCATGATGGTGCCCACTGGGCCTGGAATGACTCGACCAGACAGATAAGGATAGAGGGGAGGTCTCCTTATGTCAGTTTTATATTACTTGTTCTGCTTCACCAGGAGATCATGGTACTGTGACTCTGGGTCACAGTATTGTGTGACCCAGTAAGGAATACTGGGTCAAGTATTCCTTAACATAAGGAAGACTTGCTCCCCCTTGCTATCAAAGAGAATAGTTTTGAAGGGAAGAAGTAGAACCAAAAAAGGGCAGTTTTTATTTGTATTGTGAAATGTGAAAATAAAATTGTCAACTCTTTCAGTTAAAAAAAAATTCAATTCACATGGTTTGTGTTTTTTTGGGGGGGGGGTTAAAATATTAAGTTAATTATTGGTCAGCCCACTTCATATTGAAAAATGAGGCTTGTTTTGCATATTCTCTCTTGCATTTTGGCTTTATTTAAGCTAAGTTAGCTTCCAAAGCTGAAAGCTGAGTTGACATTGTAAACATAATGGTAAGTATACAAGGTGTGTGTGGGGGGCTGTAGGTGGGGGGTAGGCACTGTGCTACAAAGAGGGTGTTGGAAGCTCGTTGCAGAAGATGGTAAAAGCAGACTGATGTTTATTCCCTGCTGAAATATAAACTGGAGGCGCAGGTGAAAATTGCCAAACCTAATGAGCAATTTGGCAGATAAGACAGGCTGTCAGGCGACAGCAGTTCAGCAGCGGGCGTACTGTCTGTGAACCAAGTTGTTTGTTCCAGAGGACTACATTTAAATACCATAAATAAAAATCTTCTTTTTCACTTACTTGAGATCACAAAGAAATATATTTTAGCCTTCAGATTTCCAATTAAATAGCCAGTTATCAACATACGATGATTTTGGTTACATAATTATTTTAAGCTTGCCTTTTTCACGTTCTTTTGTCCATAAAAAAATGAACAAGATATATTTTCCCCACATCAGATCATAAGTAATATTCAGGCTTTAAAACACACTAATAAAATATAAGTGATCATTTGCTTCATTGGGCTGAAACATTTCATCTGTGGTCCTTGCATCAGAACACTCCAAAGTAACATTATAGTCTTTGCAATGTTCCATGTCATTTATATCTGCTTACTTTACCCGGGAATCCTTTCCTCCCATTGAGCACGTGAAAATTGAGACATATGCATGGCTTTTCCCCGTGGAGTCCATTGCTATATTGAACGAGGGGCGTTTGGATTTTCATAACTTTGTTGAATATAACAGTTCCTTAGGAAGCTGCCCAGCCCACCTCCTCTATTTTTAAAAAACATTTGGAAACTGAAGCTCAGTAATATAAAATAACAACATATTCTGTGTGTATGGCATAACTGCAGCTCAGCCCTTCCTGTTCACAAGCAGGAGTATGACCAGAAATGCACATAGTATACCTCCAGATCCCTTTATTGGTTTAACTGTGGCATTTCTAAACACCTGTCTTGGGGCCAAAGCATCTCTGGGTGCCTACTTGGTGACGCTATTTCTAAGTTCTAAGTAGAATAAACATTTGGCCCTTACATTTTATTGTGTTTATGTGAAGCACTTACATTTTGAAAAAGTCTTCACACTTGTGTAATAAAATACTTTACACTTAATAATAGTGACTCGCAGTCCATTGGCCCAAGAAGTATTATTTTTGTAGAGATTTTCTGCCTCACGTAATCAGGTATAGATACAGGACTGTAGCACCCTGGACAGTGCCCTGGTATTCCTCTGGATAGCATTGTCCTTGGGGGTTCACAGTGCTGCCTGTGGGCCATCTCCATACCCTTGGTATGTGGCACTTTAGTGCAAGGTGAGTCACAGATTTCAGCAAAATTTGCCTTTGAGATTAGACACAAACCGTGTACAGCTGGACTCCTTGTGCACCAAGCTCTTTGTATTATTCAAAATCTGCTGAAATCAGTCTTAGGGAAAAACAGTTTTACTAATTTATTCTACCCCAAAGATTCCCCCACTGCCCAGTGACTTCACTTGTCAGTTCTTTTTGTCTTGGACTATTTTATTTTACTTGGCTCTGAGGTCTTGCCTTGGACTTTTGCCTTTGTATGGGAATACACCTTATTTGCTCAGTTACAGTATCTATTTATTACATGCAGAAATAGTTACTTACACCTGAAAATTTGTAAAGGCAATATTGCTATGCATCTGTTAATAAAGTCTAATTTAAATCAAAGCAAGCAAGCCCATTTTTAGATGGCAATAAGAAGTATGTTACATAGAGAAAATAATCGCATCAAAGTGTGTGCTTTCAAAAGACAGCATTAGATTGTATGATATAATACATTGGTGAATAAACAAGATTTCTTTTTCATTTTCATCTTCCATTTCAACCAGGTATTTGGGTTCTTTTTTCTATTAGCGCATGTCACAAAGAGACCCATATCGTGGATTGTTTTGTCAGCGTGAAAGCCCAGCAGATAAAATCCTTTCTTCTCTTTTATAGATCTCTTGTTTACTTCTTGAGAATATGTTTGCATATTTATTTTTTCATTGCTTTTAGTGTCAGAAATGGCTTTGTGTTCCGAGTTCTGTTTGCTCTTGTCTGGCTCCTGTCCCCAGCTGTGGATGTACCTCCTGTCTCAGGATCATTGCCTCAATCCCAGATAGGAAAGGACAGAGGGAAGGCTACACAAAAGGCAGCCAGTTGTTGATAAGCATGCCTCTGATATTGTAACCTTCTCTGACTCTTCCATCCAATGGGCAACTAGTAGTCTGTGAGGGTTACTTCTTAAAGGTGGGGGTAAAAAGAACTTCTAAATCAGTTCATTCATTCATTGTGTTATGTTGTATTTACTCAGTTCATTTACATTGATTTGTCAATCACGAATTTATGAACATTATCAATTCATTGTCTGCATATCAGCAAATAATTTTTCTCGTTAAAGAATCTAGGAGCTACAGTGTGTGTGTACAGTGTGGCTTGTGAATGCGGAAATGCATGTTGAGTGTGTGTGTGCTAAAGAACGATTGGTGATGGTACCTTCTCAGAAATGAAGGTCTTTTTAAATAAACATTTTCTGTGTCTTCATTTGCCGCTTCTTTAAATATGTTTCTCAAATTGACATTTGAAAGCACCTACACTTAAATAAAATCATGAATTTTAATAACTCCATAAATGGAGGCTTTACCTACTCTTTCTCCCTCTTGATCTCATAAATCCAAATCATCGACCCTGCCTGTTCTTAAATACTGTCACACTATGTATTCCCTGCGTGGACTGCCTTTCTCTGTACACTCTCAAAGTTGCAGAAAGTTTTCTATACTCTAAATTTTTTATCTGCTTATCAGGGATTAAGCAGCCACTATACATTGTTTTTCAACTCTTATTTTTACAATGAAGGGTAAATACAGCAAACACAACAGCCTGTTACCTGTGCTGCAGTTGTATTTCTTCCACATTGCACGCAATGTTTTTTTCTTGTCCATTTGTAGTAGCACCCTAGTGATAATTTAAAATATATTAATATTATAAAATGTGTGTGCACATGGAGATATACATATATGCACACATAGCTCATATTTAGTGAAGTTTATATGTGGAAAGATTTAGAGGAAGGATGTAAATTCAGAAAAATCATTTTTTAAAAGAAACATCATTTAAGATAAATGTTTAATGATAAAACATTTAAGATGGGAAATTAGACTTGCATTATTAGGGAAGCCTCAGTCCAACCATAATAGGGAAAAAGCAGTAAGCAAAGGGCATTTCAGAGTACTGCTAGGTTATTCAACCTATCATCACATTTAATTAAAATGTCAATTTGAGTCATCACTGATCCATTGGTTAATTTGTTACTTAAATCAGCGGTGAGAAGTATTTATTTTAAATACAGAATTTGTGTTAATGAATTGGAAAAGAATATTCTATTGCCTGGCAGAGATGTTACAGCCTAAAGATTTATGATTTAGAACAAGAAAAAGGAGTTGGTGATCAGTTTCCATGAGTAGTATGTGGGTATCTACTCTTACTTGACATTAGCCTTTTTGGTTTTTTTTTGGTAACCAGAGTGAGAGAGTTGGGAATGGGAGGCAGAAACAAGGACAAGGTTGTAAAAAAGAAAACAAAACACAAAACAAAACTGCATTGAATTCTGCATATGGACCTGTTATCCATGGTTAAGAATTGGGAGGATCATGCGTCCTGCAGGGGGAGGATGGGGAGAGCCACATGGGTAGGGATCCGGATGTGGTTCTGTCTGCTTCATCCAGAGAAGTTACTGGCTCTCTTGTCCTTGTTTCACACTTTTGTCCAAGATTTGCTGCTGTTTCTCCTCCGAATTAGGAAATCCACTTAAAATAAATGTATAGTTTATCTGCCCCAATTTTGAAGAGCACCATGTATATAATTCTTCCTATGTGTTTATGCATATAATTATTGCTGCTATGCCAAATTACCACAAAGTTAGTAGCTTAAAGCAACACAAATTTATTATAAGTCAGAGTCCAGTGTGGATCTTACTGGGCAGGAATCGAGGTGTTGGAAGGTCTGTGTCCCTGTCTGGAGGCTCTAGGGGAAAAGAATCCAGTTTCCTGCCTTTTATGGATTCTGGAGGCCACCTGCATTCCTTGGCTTGTGGACCTTTCTGTTCTCCGTCTCTGCCATTAGCAACCTTGCATCTCTTGGACCCATCGTCTTTCTTCTCTCTCTGGCTCTTCTGTTCTTTTCCACTTTTAAGGACTCACGTGGGGCTGGGCATGGTGGCTCATGCTTCTAATCCCAGCACTTTGGGAGGTTAAGGCAGGAGGATTGCTTGAGGCCTGGAGTTTAAGACCAGACTGAGCAACACAGCGAGACCTGTTCTCTACAAAAATGCATCTAAAAGTTAGCCAGGCACGGTGGTGTGCACCTATAGTCCCAGATGCTCAGGAGAATGGCTTGAGCCTAGGAGTTTGAGGTTGCAATGGGCTGTGATTGAGCTGCTGCACTCTAGCCTCGGGCAATAGAGTAAGACCCTGTCTCAAAAAAAAAAAAAAAAAAAAAAAAAGCTCTGGTTACTTTATCCTGAATAGATGAAGACACTGGGATCATCCAGCGGGACCAGTATCTTAGTCCCTTCAGACTGCAGTAAGAAAATACTGTAGGCTGGGTAGCTATAAACAACAGAAACTTAATTCTCACTGTTCCTGGATTTGGGAAGTGCAAGATCAAGATGCCCTCAGATTCTGTGTCTGGGAAGGCTTGCTTTCTCATAGATAGTTCCTTCCTGCTGCATCCTTACATGGTGGAAGGAGCAAACAAACTCCATTGGGCCTTTTTAAAATAAGGACACTAATTGCTGTCATGAGTGTGAAGCCTCCCCAA